CCTCCATCCTAATAGCGATGGCCTCCAACCTAATAGCGATGGCCTCAATCCAAATAGCGATGGCCTCCATCCAAATAGCGATGGCCTCCATCCAAATAGCGATGGCCTCCATCCTAACAGCAACGGCCTCCAACCAAATAGCGATGGCCTCCATCCAAATAGCGATGGCCTCCATCAAAATAGCGATGGCCTCCATCCTAATAGCGATTGCCTCCAACCTAATAGCGATGGCCTCCATCCAAATAGCGATGGCCTCCATCCTAATGGCGATGGCCTCCATCCTAACAGCGATGGCCTCCAACCTAATAGCGACGGCCTCCATCCAAATAGCGATGGCTTCGTCAAAATAGCGATGGCCTCCATCCAAATAGCGATGGCCTCCATCCTAATGGCGATGGCCTCCAACCAAATAGCAATGGCCTCCATCCTAATAGCGGTGGCCTCCAACCTAATAGCGATGGCCTCCATCCAAAGAGCAATGGCCTCCATCAAAATAGCGATGGCCTCCATCCTAATAGCGATGGCCTCCATCCTAACAGCAACGGCCTCCACCCAAATAGCGATGGCCTCCATCCAATTAGCGATGGCCTCCATCCTAACAGCGATGGCCTCCATCCTAATAGCGACGGCCTCCATCCAAATAGCGATGGCTTCCGTCCAAATAGCGATGGCCTCCATCCTAATAGCGATGGCCTCCATCCTAATGGCGATGGCCTCCAACCAAATAGCAATGGCCTCCATCAAAATAGCGATGGCCTCCATCCTAATAGCGGTGGCCTCCAACTTAATAGCGATGGCCTCCATCCAAATAGCGATGGCCTCCATCCTAATAGCAATGGCCTCCATCCTAGTAGCGATGGCCTCCAACCTAATAGCAATGGCCTCCATCCAAATAGCGATGGCCTCTAATAGCGATGGCCTCCATCATAATAGCGATGGCCTGTCCATCTAAAGCATTTGGGAAAGAGGTGGAAAAAGGCTGTCGCCAAAGAAGGTGCAAGGCTAAGGGTCCGGCTCTGCCTTCTCTTTGTCTGTGGCTTTGAATGTTGTCGACCTGAGTTGTTTGTTACAGTCTTCAAAAGCTGTCCTACGTCCTAGCTAGGAGCTTCTTATTGCAAGTAGCTTACCTCTTACTACTTGCTACTTGAGTCGTCTAACGGTGGCCTCCAACGTAAGGTATATTATATAATATTATATACAGTATATATATACAGTACACAGTATACACGCTTAAAGGAAATAACAGAGCTCGTGACTCAATACTTGTCCTGCCCTTCTCCCAAGGAGGCGTTGCCTCGGCTTGTTCGCACAGCAGGTCACACAGCACACAGACCAGTGAATCGTCACATATTCATACATAGTTTACATATTCTATCAGTTAAGTCACCTGGTGAACAAGTTTCTCAAAGCTCCACAGTGCTCAAGGTTTGGCAAAGAGAGTAGGTCAGGCACAGCTCTGTCCTTTCGCTGCACAACCGTCGCGGCCTTTCAGCAGAGGATCAATAAGTTGCTTTGTGTGCGGAAAGAGGTTTCAAGCTTCCTCTTGTGTGACCTCCGCTTCTTCTTTTGCGCGAAGCTCTTTCTCCTCAAGAGAAAGCCAAAGTGCTGTGATGCATTCCAGAAAATGATGCGAAGCAAATGCAAAACCGAAACCGTGTAGGAGAAAGTCCTGAGTTGATTCTCGCCGATAACCCTTGTGCTGCCGGAAGCGCTGTTCTAGCGACTGCAGCTCAATGTAAACCTTCAATGATTCCATTTTCAATTGGTGTGTAAGAGCCTTCGAACACTCCACGTCCTTTGCAATTGAACTTTGCTAAAGACCCCTCTTATCTACTCTCATTTCGAGCATGTTCCACTTGGTCAGTGGCGGCGCCATACTGATCAACTTTCTGCTGTTCTTCCTGACCGCGTCATACAATGGAGCAAAAGCAAAGCCACAAAAGCCCAAAGCAGTTTCCTTCCGATTACTGAACCAAACCTCTGTCAGAGTCTGGCCATTGTCAGCTGCAGCCTCATCGCACGAGAGAATATGAAGGAAATGTAGCAAAGACCGTTGCAGAAAGTAAGGGTTGAAAGGAAGAATGTTGCAAGCCTTCAGCTCATTGATTTCGGCCATGCGCTTCCGACAGTTCGCGATGAGAGCCTGGGAAATTCAGCATTGCACAGTTGAGAAAAATGGCCCTTGTAAGCCTTGCGTCTTAAGGTAAGCTTAGTAAGCCAAGCAAAGGCCTCAAGGTTCTTCACCATGTAACTGCCTGTTTGGGTCCAAAACAGCGACTGCCAAACAAAGAGTCTCTGTCTGGCTGTCAGGTCACCTGCTTCACCTGGGCCCGATGGTGCCAATTCAGCAGCCTGGCATAAGAATTACGAATAAAGCCCTTAAAAGGAGAAACAAAATTCCTTTGACGTGATACGACCTGACACGGAAAGAGACCAAATACACCAAAAGCATCCAAAATCCAAGACATGTGTTCGTGCGCATTGCAAAAGACGTCAGCGTGGCCCAAGATGGCATCGAAACACCCCGGTCAAACTCCAGCTCTTCGATGTCGCAGGTTGAGTAGTTGATCTTCACGGCCTACCAGGGAAGAGATATGCACAATAGATATTTGAACAAATAAAGGTAGCAAATGCACAGTTGCTTTTTGAGGCATTCAAGACACACTACGGAAAAGAAATAGTGATAAACATGTACAATTGTACAATATGCGTGCCTTACACATTATTGTCTTTGAATCAGCTCCATCTCTGAACATGGCCACACAAGAGATATGAAATGAAGCCACAGTGCTGCAGCCTTGATGAAGTACTTCACCGGTAACCAGCCATCCAACCTTGGCGTTTGTTGCGAAATGGGCTGCGTGGGCGATCGAAACACGAGTAGTGCGCCCTTGGGTAAGAATCACCTCGTTCTTGCTCCGGTAGAAGACCATTCCATCCTTAGGAGTCTTTCGAGAGGCAGTCCGTTCGTAGCGTTCTTGCTCCGTGCGTAGCAATGCCAAGAGCCCCTAGTAGCGTCCTTTGTTCAGGGTTCATTAGGGCACGAACCAGCATGGCTGCTGGAACGTCTATGTAAAGGAAGAGCTCCGCTGTTGAGCGCATCCCCCGGATCTTTCCGTCCTGCCGATCGGACCTTTCCACCGAAACTTGACACGGTGAAGCACTGAAGCAGACTGAAGCACTCCTCTGGCAGCCCCGGGGCCAAGTGAATGTGGTTTCGGGCGACCTAAGGGAACCAATCTAGACTGGAAGACCTTGCTCCGTTCGTAGCGATGCCAGGAGCCCCGAATAGCTTTTTGCTCCTAGTACGGCCAGGAGCCCCTAGTAGCGTCCTTTGCTCCTAGTAGCGTGGCACTTGTTTCTAATGGCTTCTTGTTACTACTAGTAAGGCACTTGTTCCTAGTAGCGATGCACTTGTTTCCTGTTGCGTACGTTGATTGAAGAAACAGAAAAAGCTGAGAATGGTGCCTTGGACAACCCTTGTCTCTTGATAAATGGCCAGTGCACCAAGTAGGTGCCATGAACACAGTCTTGAACCTTGGTCGCCAGTTGTTGTGCTTTGAACTTTCCAAGGTTGGCATCACAAACACGCGTAGTGCTGATACAACCACGGGCGATCTGTCTTCAAACACCCGGCCAAACTATGCATTATGCAGCAAACCTTACGAATATGATGGCATGGTGATCCTATAGGGAAAAAAACAATCGAGTAAGTCCACATCGCCCCATTTACTGCAAAGTTGAGCAAAATACGGTTGTCGGGTCTGTGATGACCTCAAGCAAAAGATCATCTTCCACCACCTGTCTTGTGAGAAGCGTGCGGCATCCAACTCAAAACTTCTTGAACAAACTGCGTGTGCCTTCATGGTGTGGCCCTGATTGGCGCGAATCAGTAAGTCCCCATCAAATTCTCGGACCTTACAGGTTTTGTCAGCAAGAAAAGCACAACGACAAGGAGAGGATGAAAAGCACAAAATTTGGCGCCAAGAGAACCAGCTCTTGGCTTTTGCTTGAGAAATCACAGCAAGCCTCTACGGCTGCTGAGAAATGTGAACTCTACTACTCAAAACAATATGCATTGTTTAAATATATACATATATGTGTGTATTATAGGGACACGAACAGCTATATGATGCAAGATGCAAGAAAACGACCCGCAAAAAGAAAACAAAATCTGACTGCAAGCCATATACAGTAACCATGCGCCCACGTGCATAAAGAGACGCCTGGCTGCTCAAAGTGCCCATCTGCAACACATTGGCCTCCAACCTACTAGCGATGACCTCCAATCTAGAAGCGATGGCCTCCAACCTAAGCGAGCCATGGCCTCCAACCTAAGCTTCAACCTAAACAAAGATTTAAAGAGAAAAATACGCAGAACGAGTCTGTTTGTAACTGAGCTCACAGAGCCACAATGACGCATCTGAACAAAAGGCATGGATCACGGGTCAGACGTGCAAACCCTTTTGGATTTTGTGGAGTCAGACCTACCCATGGGCCCTTACATGCCACGCGAACGGTATTTTCCGCTTGTACAACACATAAATGTCCCCCTAGTAGCGTCCTTGCTCCTAGTAGCGATGCCAGGAGCCCCTAG